TTACCCAGGCCTGGCCATAAGATGTCCCACAACAAACTGGATGGCCTCGAGCCTTCTGGTTGAACTGGATGTGGCTTTGGGCCTCATTTTCCACAGAGATGTCCTGGCAGAAAGGAGTCCATCCCATCCCTTCTTCAGGGCTGGGAGAAATCCTGGTTTCCAGGTTCTTTCCTTCCTAGATTCCTCCATAGCAATGCTGATTTCCAGTCTTTCCTTGAGCCGGCCTGCCTCTAGGGTTGCCCTGAGGTTTGTAGGTACTTGAAACAGTACCTGTTAAGTCCCTGTTCCTGTCATTTAGACAGATCCCCTGATGGTTTCCCTGGAAGAGAGCTTTGGGGTCCCATAGCTGGTTTTTCCTGTCTGCATAAGGGGTAGCCCCTATTACAGAGAGAAAAGACTTATCTGGATTTATGCAAACCAACATAGTGCCATGAAGCATCAAAAACATACTGAAGGTACAAAAGAAGAGAAAAGTAAGCTTCTCACTTTACTCACAGTGAGATGCAATACAGCCATTTGTTATGGATCCTGGTCAAAAGATGGTTAAATCTGTAGTGATAAAGGATACAATTTAGCATCATGTTTAAACCTTGACTTCCCATTATCTAAGAGCACTGTACCAGGAGTCCAGTAAATAGCCTTACCTGTCTAATTCATTTAATCTCACATTGAAAAACCCTTGATTTCCTGCAATTTTTTGAAAAATTCAATTGTCTAAGAGCACTGTAACAGGAGTCCAGATAATCTGTACAATATCTTTTCCATAGAGCTTACCAAAAAGGCACTAGAACAATTCTGCAGAAGTAATTTAAGGAGTTTCTTTACTTAACATGACAAAACTGTCCTCTGCATTGCTATTTCAAAAGCATTAGATCAATTCTATAGATATTCAAAAGGCCTTAAAAATGCTAAACAATTAAAGTTCTTATAAGGTATATTCACTAGGCAAAAGTTCACTTCACATTAGAAATTAACCAGGATACATCTTAGAATTCTGATTTCCAGGAAAACACAGATATAAAGATTAAAACACTCATAGATTATCATGAAACATTAAGGATTTCACACTTGTGTACAAAGCTCTCCAAAGATCAGGGCTGGTGACAAGGCTTTGCATGAAATAAAGTTTTTCAAAATAGTAGCATGTACTTTCAAGCACTGGACAGGCTGATTAACAATATAGTTAGTAAAATTTCCCACATTTTCCATGAAATTCTCCATTCTCAGAAACTATTACAGCAAGCTGACATCTGAGATTAACCCATCTTATAACTCTTAGTAGTTCTAGAAATTTTAGTTAGTTAAAGTCTCAGAGATCAGATAGAGCACTGGTAGGACAATTTTTGCAACCAATTTCATAACTCTAGAAATTCATGTTTAAACTAAACCATTACTTTTTGAACCTGTTTTCATGTGTCATAATTATTTTAACTCCTTCTAGGTCAAATATTCTAATCCAATGCAGATACAAATATGTAACATAACAGCATAAAACCTTTGAACAATCAATTTTTATAAAACATGATAAAATCTTCTTTGACTTAATTTCAATAGTTATTGTACCTTAGTTATTTAAAATCATGATACACCAGATAGTTTTACAATCCCACAAGAATACAAACATGCTTTCAGACACAGAAAAAGCCCTTTGGTTTTTACCAAACTTTGATATTGTCATAGAAAATAACACTTGGTCTGTCAATATTTATGGAAACGTAAGAAAACTTTGTTTATTTTGATGTCTTTTGTACCTCTGTTGTTTGTAAAAGAGCTAAATTCCTCATTACAATTGGGCGAGGCTTGTAAGATAAAGCCTTACATTCTCTGAACTTTATTTCACTTTACTTTCAGGCTCTAGTTCCATAGCTCTTCTAGATAGTACAGATTCTTAAGTTCAAAAGGATTTCAACTGTTACTCATATAATCATTACTGTTCTTCTAGCAAGAAATTTAGATTGAGAATTCTGCTCTCTCTGTAGGTTCAACCTTCTGATAAGGTTTAACCCTTGTCTAACTGGTTCCAAAAACAACTCCATTTCTTAAATCACTGGGTTGCATATCACTAACTTCTCTAGAATTTCTACTTCTGATTTCAGCCTGGTTCCAACACTTAAGTGTTCCACACAGACAGACAGACAGACAGACAATGAACTGACTAAAACACCACACGTACATGTGCACACATCTGCAGTTGATCGATCAATCTGACCCTTCAAAAATGGCAGGGAGAAACTGATGGACTGAGAAAGGAAGGGACAGTCCCTGGGGCAAAGAAGCCCTATTGGCTGATTGGGAACACTGCTCCCATTTCCCAGCCTGACCACCAGTCTCCTGCTTGTTAAAAATGGGTCAAGAAAGTGCTTTTCTTGATATAAGCCGTCAAAATAAACTATGACAAAGATGTTACCATATTTTGGCCAAGGCTAATTCTGAGGCAGGGAGCTAGTATCTTATCAGACATGGGGATAGGCTGCCTTAGTGACACACTTCTTTGTTTCTGATGTCAAACAGTTAATCATGAGATCTTGCATTTTCCTGCCTCCTCTGCTTTGATAATCCTATTTCTTTTGTTAACTGCAAAGATCTGACTGCAAAATGACTGAAAAATGATCTGGTAATGCAAACTGCCATCCACTGGGCTATCTTTCCCCACTATACTCAGGCTACATGGTGTTACAGAGGTCATCGAGATACTCCTTATCAAAAACTACCTAGTTGGAAACTCCTCGGATGTTTATCTAATTTCAAGAAATCATCTATGAAAAAGGATGGTTCCTTGGCAAAACTTTTCTCCCGGTGTATCATTTTAGCCTCTCCAGGGGGGACTTGAACCCCTTGTATATTGGCTTTTACTCTGACCTCTCCCGAGGGGACTCTAACCCCCCGTAAACTGGCCTTTACTCAAAGGCTCATTGGATTTGAACTGTCTCCACCTGTGTGGGCCTGGCGTTGGGCAGACCCACAGTTGTGTGCCCGAGCCAAACTTAGTGCTGTGGTCTTAAGAACTCTGCTCCTTAAAAAAAAAGTTCTGCCTTTCTTAGCTTGCTACTTTTTCCCCTCTTTTTGCTGGCTTGTGGCTTTTCTCAGGCCTCTTACCGGCCGTTTACCCCCCCCCCCCACCCCCCTTTTTTTTCTTTCTGCCTTGCATCTGGACTGCCTCCATTAGCATTTCAATTGACCTCTAGCTGATCTTCAGGTTAGACTGAGACCGGTTGGGGAAAAGGATTTTCTGCCTGGAAATTGTTCTGCCTTAGTTTTCCAGAGTCTTCTCAATAGTGGACTTTCCTCCCATTCTTCCCATAGTGGACTGTGATGCAAAACAGACAAAGGAGGGGTGCCTCTTTGCAGAGACCATTCAGATGCTTGCCTGGCCGGTGGAAAACTTGGCCTTAGTGGTTCAGCATTGTGACTTGCGACCGGCAGCTATGCCAGTGCCACCCTTGACCGTATGTTCTCCGTGGAATCGCAGGCAGCCCACTCCAGCTCCGTGACTTTAGAGGGACTTTAAGAGTGCCAGGTCATAGAGTTATGAAATCATGCCCGATAGGAGGACCTATCAGGGTGCTCATGCACGCACACATTCACACAGAGGTTATCACATTCCTCCCCCATGCCCCATAGAGATTGCCAAGGGAGCATACCTTCACAGCAGATTTTCCACAGATTACCTCCTTTATCTGAGCCACAAGGTTTGGAGAAAAGAAACCTGGGGGGGGGGGGGGGAGGGGGACCGCAATCCACACAAAAGGAAGGCCATTCTGATGAACAATAAGTGTCAAACTTACTTTTCTTGTTCATCAAGCCCAGATCCTGAGCTTTCCTGTGGATCTCAGAGAAGTGATCAAGAATTAAAGCTTTGGGGGTCGATTGATTCTGACCCATATTAAACAATCGTAATAAACAGAATTAGGAGAAAGATAATAAGACAAACACACACACTAAGAACACACGCACAGATCACACTCCTGCACTCGCTTGGACCAGTCCTCCTCTCACACTGGTGCGCACCTCACTCACCATGGTCACACTGGGATTCCCAAATTTGCCCAAAGGCCGTGCACGTGATTTTCACCTCCGGAGGGCTTATTCTTCTTCTCTTGGTGCCAGGTTTTCCAGAACATATGAGGACCCAGAGAGTATGTCCTCCAGAACAGATGAGGACTCAGAAAATATGTCCTCCTGATCTTAGGAAAACAGACTAGGACCCAAAGAAACCTTATGTCCCTCAAGTCCTCCCAGTCAGGGTTAGCCACTTCCCTGCCGTGGTTCAGATGGGGACACCTTTCCCCCAGAAAACAGATGGAATATTCCCCAGAATTTAAGGCCTTTTCAAAACCTGCTCTCTGGGCCAGTTTGCCGTCGGGAGATCTCGCTGGGGCCTCCAAATGTTAGGGCGCGGATCGTGATCTCCCTTTAACGACAAAGAAACTCCAGAGACTGCAAATAGCAAGCAAGGTTTATTGTAAGACGGGCTAGCCAGGGTTGAGCTGCCTACACAGACAAGCAGGTTGATAGGTTAGGCAAGACCCCGAACTTCTTCAAAGGGGATCTTATATAGGCCTTCACTGGCCGTTACAGCAAAGCCCACGCATTTCATAGCCAATAGATTTGTAACAACATATACTTTCTTAACCAATCCAATTAAAAGCACATCACTCCTTAGCCTATAGATTCAAAGATCAGCATTTGTGTACATGGGCATTGTGGCTAGCGGGCATCTCATAACTCAGACATCTGGTTATCTTCCATGTCCACTCGGCTCTCCTGTGATTTACAGCTCATGGCACCTACATTCCGGTGGAGGGGGATGAGGGGAGAGTTACTGGTGGAGGGGCAGATAAGGTAGAGTCAACCCAGGAGGCAAGATTTACATCCCAATTTGGAAGAGTCAACAAATGGAGACAGAATTTACATCTCAAGGCTTTACTAGGGAGGGGGCAAGATTTACATCTGAAGGATTTTACCAGGGAGAGGGCAGGTAAGGAAGAGTTACTAATTAGCAGAGTTTAGCACTGGAATTTCTGGGTCCCAAGGGACCTTACAGAGGCCATGCTAATGTTCTCTATATCCTTCCAATTTTAGTATATGTGCTGCCAAAGCAAGCACTCTGTAATTATTTCTTTAGGCTTTAGAAATTCTTAGCTATTATTAAAATAGATTCTCAGCTATTCACTTTCTGAGATATCCATTAGCCTTATGTTTTCATTTCTAATGGTGTCTAATTTCTCTATATTTTTTCAACTAACTTCTCCTTCCTAATTAATTTGTGTATTTTAATTTTCGATTATTATTTTCTCGCCAAGATTAAGCATCCTTACCCTGCTTTTCATGGCCGTCTATTGTTATTTCACTGTATTTCGCATATCCACCATCTCTGTTTGGATTATTTTGGTCACTATTATTGTGAGGGACATACTTGGAGGCTCCTACCTGCCCCAACACCTACCCAAGGACTACCAGGGCTGCCCTTACCGGTGCTTGAGAGACTATGAGGAACTGATGCAGGAGCAGTGACAGCGGGTCTCTATGTTTGTCTGTTATTCCCAAGTTCTTCGATGTTTTCAAGAGTGAAAATATTGAGTTTAAAAGATGCTCAGACTTGGAGCTACAAAGTAGAAAAGTTCACTGGAAAGTAAAAGAGAAAAGAAAAGGAACTCTCCAAGTGTGTGGGTGGGGGTGGGGGTGGGGAGAACGTGGATCTTAGTAAAGAACTAAGTTACTCTTGACTTGTTTTGTGGGGATTTTTATAGGGAAACTGGGCTATAAACTATAACTTTGTGTTATAGAGAATGCAGGGAAGTTACAGGCAAGGAGTTTTTCTGTAGACCCTTTGAAATGAAAATTTGGCTCTCTGCATTTCTTATCAATTGACAAAAGTGTTAGAGCAGATGCAAGGGTCAGGGTGGTCTGGCCATTAGGCTTAGGTATTTCCGATTATCTCAGCCTTGTGGAGAGCCTAAGGTCTGAGATCTAGTTTAATGTTGGTCAATTGTTAACTTTCTGTTTATCAGAAAGAGCCCTTGAATTCTCAGGAAGTAGGATGTAGAATTAAAAATTAAAAAACATGATTGCCACTTAATGCCTCTGCAAACCACAACACCCAAAAGGAGAGAGAGAACAAAAGGAACCCACAAAGGCAGGGTGAGATGGGGGGAGGGGGGATGGGAGGGATACTGGGATCCGTGGTGGTGGGAAATGGGCACTGGTGGAGGGATGGGTATTTGATCATTGTATAATTGAAACCCAAGCACAAAAATTTGTAAGTCCACAACTGTACCTCATGGTGTCTCACTAATAAAAAAAAAAAAGTTAAAAAAAATGGCAGCTGGCAAGGGGAAACAGGGTTCCTCTTTCAGTATCAGGGAACAAACCCAGGGCCTTGCGCATGAAGACCTTGTGCTCTATCACGTTTGTCACATCTCAGTCTATTCTCTCTTTTTCTATATAACCTCAACCTATTTGAAGACCTCCTTTGTCTTCTAAGCATCTTTTCTGTTATCTTGAACCTGTTTTTCTGTGGTTGATATTCTTCATGAATGAATTTACTCATGATAACTTTTGTAAATTATTTTTTTCTCCAATTTTATCTTTAAGTTTCATGTCTGAGCATTTGTTTTCTTTCAGCATTTCCATGTCCTAAATTGACTTTTTCTTGCCATGTGCTTTGCCTCCCCACCCCCACCATTAGGTGGCAGTGTGGCTTTAGTTTTGGGATCCTCCTTGTTCCTTTGAAGGCGCTTTCCAGGTTTCTTCCTATTTACAGAGGTTACCACAGTGTTCCTCTCCGTTCTCACAATGTTCTGATGCCCCACAACCCACATGACCACTAATCAAACTCTAAAACTCAATTCTTAGTTCCTGGGCTTAATCACGGTGGGGACCCCAGCGTCATTCACCTGTGTCAGTATGGGCAAAACAAAACGGATGCCTGTCCCTCTGCTCTGTCTAGTATCAGAAGACCTCGACCATGGCCAAAGATCCCTTTCTTTCTCCCTTTTCCATTGCTGCAGCAAGTGACCCATCTCAGAGAAAGTTTTGGTTAATTAAACAAAAGTAGCCATGAGCTCTTGAACGTTTCCTACAGATTCTGGATTTAGGGCAGAAGCTTAGTAGAAGCTAGGTATTTCACTACATTGTGATGATTTGTATTTGTTGATAGACATTTAGGATGCTTCCATGTACTAATCATCTGGAATAATGCTGCTGTGTATCACTGTCACTGTGTCACTGTCATCCTGTTGTTCATCGATTTACTTGAGCAGGTGCCAGTAACGTCTCTATTCATCCCAGCCCTGAGATTTTTAGCAACCTCTCTTGACTCCCCTTTCCCAACTATTGGGGCCTCTTTCAGGGTCAGGGGAATGAGACCTGTTATAGATACTGTTTTTGGCATATTGAATATGCCACGGGGAGTTTTCCAGGCTCTGTCTGTGCAGATGGGATACTCTTGGTAGCTTGTAGGACTCATATATATATATATATATATATATATATATATATATATCTATGATTTGTTGCCTACTGTCTAAACCCGGTCAAACATGGTCTGGTAATTATGGAAAATGCGTAGGAAGTGGTTTGGAAAGCAGCCTGAAACATGGCAGCAGTTGACTAATCGAGATCAACTACCAGAGCTGGGTCCCTTGGGGCGGGGGAGGGCTCTCACCCGTCCCCCTCTGGAGCACCCTGAGTGAAAACAGCCTGGTGCGAAGTCCGGTGGCATGGTTATGGGGGCCTCATTTTATACTCCCGTCTGGGAGGAGCAACCGTGAGTTCTGGAGGGTGGCTGATGAGGAGATTTGTAGTGTATTTAGAGCTGCAAATGTTCTTTTTTTTTTTTTTTTGAATAAAGAGAACTTTAATATTATGTCAGACAACAAAAAATATAACAGACACTTTCTCCTGAGTAGGACTAGAAGATTTCAAATAAAATAGGGTCACCCCCAAATGGGATTGCTCTATCACAACGGTAGTTCTAGTTTTAATGTCTTGTGAAACCTACATACAGTTTTACTTTGTGGTGATACCAATTCACATTCCTATAACAGGGTACAGTTTCCTTTTATTCTTTCTCTTGTTACTGCTTATACTGTTGAAATTTATTTTTTTAGGTGTTTTGGTTTACAATATTGTTAATGGTTAAAATTCATGCATAAATCATTTTAACATCACATCCTCCACCACAACGTTCATACTACCATGCATGAGACATTTTAGTGTGGTTTTCATTTGTTTTTCTCTGAATATTAGTAATGTTGAGTAGCTTTTTAAGTGCCTGTTAACCATTTATTATTATGTCATTTGTATTTTTTGAAACTCTACAGGCAAAAGAAAATGGTTGATGAAAGCAAAAAAGTTTTGAATGAAATAAGCATCACAATAGGAATCCTCTATACAGGAAATGACCCTACCCAGTCAACATAGACTTCAAATTAAAAAAAGCATTAAGGGATAAGAATGTATTTTATTTACTCATAGAGAGAGATCATCAGAGAGAAAACCTATATGCACCAAATGAAAAATCATCAAAAGCTTTTAAAGCAGGAACTGGAGAGACAGTACAGTGGGTGGGACATTTACCTTTCATGTGTCTGATCCAGGTTCAATTCTTAGCACCCAATATGGTCCCTTGAGCACCACCTGAAGTGATCCCCTACTGCTGCTGGGTGTGGACCTAAAAGTACCTCCTCACCCAAATATATAAAGCAACTGCTAATAGACCCAGGAAAAGACCCGGAAAAGATACTCACATCAGTAACCTGTACAGTTTTTAATAACCTCCTTTCACTAATGGATAGATAAACAAAATTAAGTAATAATAAAGAAAATTGATCTTGAAGAAATAAATTCAATAATCATGTGTATAGCTCTCCATACTAATACTGTTGAGTTCGTGTTCTTTCCTGGTGCACTTGGCACATTCTCTAAGATAGACCACATGAGTCTACATAAAATTAAAAGGATAAAAAATGTCAAGCATATTTTCAGAACACAGTACTTTGAAAGTAGAAATTAAGGATAATGAAATCTGGGGGAAAAATGGAAACACTTCGAGCTAATCAACTTACTACTGAACTATCAGTGGATCAAAGAGGAATCAGAGGAGAAATCTGATAATTCCTAGAAACAAATGAAAATCAAGACACAGAATAATTGGGACATAGTAAAAGCTGTCCAAAGAGGGAAATTCATAGCAATGAAGGCTTCATCAGGAAAGAAGAGAAGGCCCAAATAACCTAACTGCAACAAAATGAGCCCAGAGTATGCAGGAAGAAAAGATTAAGTTAGAGTAGAAACTAACAATATAGAAACACAAATTCCAAATAAACACAAAAACCAATAAAAAGAGGTTAATGAAGCCCAGAGCTAGTTTTCCAAAGGAATAAAGATCAAAACACTGATTCATAGACTCACGAAGAAAATAGAGAAAAAAATAAAAATCAGAAGAAATAAAAGGGGATATGCCTCAGATACCATAGAAATTGGGCTGAAGCGATAGCACAGTGGGTAGGGCATTTGCCCTGCACACGGCCGACCCGGGTTTGATTCCTCCATCCCTCTTGGAGAGCCCGGCAAGCTACCGAGAGTATTCTGCCCACATAGAAGAGCCTGGCAAGCTCCCCGTGGCATATTTGATATGCCAGAAACAGTAACAACAAGTCTCAAAATGGAGACGTTACTGGTGCCCGCTGGAGCAAATCGATGAACAGTGGGAGGGCAGTGCTACAGTGTATTTTTTGGGTAAATAGCCATTAACATCCTCTGCCTATTAAAATTTTTTTTGTAATGTTGAATTTTATGAGATTTAATACATATATTTACTTATTAATTCTTTATCCTATAGGTGATTTATACATATTTTTTCATTTAGTACATTTCATTTTGTTGACAGTTTACTGTACTAATGATTTTATTTATTTATTTATTTATTTATTTATTTTTATTTCTTTATTGAATCACCGTGGGAAAGGTTACAAAGCTTTCAGGTTTAGGTCTCAGTCATGCAAATATCAAACACATTTCCTGTTACCAAAACTTATTTTTTACCATGAAGAACCCCAATAAAACCCCACCCCCACCCCTCCCAGTCCCTGTGGGGCAGATGA